ACTTTGTCAACTATGCTACGTCGGACCACAAAGAATTATAGAGCTGAGCTGAGCACAACAGTGAAAGCTAACACCATGTTTCCTGATGATATCTCCCAAGGGTAGCATGTAAAGCGTGAAAAGCAACGGTCCTAGTACTGAGCCTCATTGTACTCCTTACTGCACTTGTGATTGATTTGATGCTTTATCATTCATTGCTACGAAATGATGACCGTCAAATAAGTACGATTGCCATGCCAAAGCAATTCCACTAATGCCAACATAATTTTCTAGTTTATTCAAAAGAATGTTGTGGTCGATAGTGTCGAATGCACCACTAAGATCCAGTAGCACTAATAGAGAGATACAACCACGATCAGATGATAAGAGCAAGTCATTTGTAACTCTGATGCGAGCAGTCTCAGCACTATAATACGGTATAAATCCTGACTGGAAATCCTCACAGATACCATTTTTACTGCCTTTTCTAGTATCTTTGACAGAAAAGGGAGATTTGAGATCGGTCTGTAATTAAGTAATTCTCTAGGATCAAGTTGTGTTTTTTTTAATGAGAGGCTTAATAATAATAAGTTTGAAGGCTTTTGGGACATATCCTAATGACAATGACGAATTAATAATATTCAGAAGAGGATCTATGACTTCTGGAAGCACCTCTTTTAGTAGCTTAGATGGTATAGGGTCTAACATACATGTTGTTGGTTTAGATGATTTAACAAGTTTATACAATTCTTCCTCTCCTATAGCAGAGAATGAGTGGAATTGTTCCTCAGGGGATCGATAATGCACTGTCTGATGCGATACTGTAGCTGACGGCTGCATGGTCATAATTTTATCTCTAATAGTATCAATCTTGGAAGTAAAGAAGTTCATAAAGTCATTACTGCTGTGCTGTTATGAAATGTCAGCACCTGTTGATGCTTTATTTTTCATTCATTTAGCCACTGTACTGAATAAATGCCTGGGGTTGTGTTTTTCTTCTAAAAGAGACAAGACAAAAAAGTAAGCAGTTTTAAGGCTTTTCTGTAGGAGGAAGTACTTTCCCACCATGCAATGCAAAACACCTCTAGTTTTGTTTTCTTCCAGCTGCGCTCCATTTTCCAGGCTGCTCTTTTTAGGGTGCGAGTGTGCTCATTATACCACAGTTTTGGACTGTTTTCTTAATCTTCTTTAAGTGTAAAGGAGCAACCATATCTAAAGTGCTAGAAAAGAGAGAGTCTATAGTTTCTGTTACAACATCAAGTTTTTCTGAGCTATTGGATATGCTGAGGAATTGAGACAAGTCAGGAAGATTATTTACAAAGCAGTCTTTTGTGGTAGAAATGATGGTCCTACCATATTTGTAACAAGGAGTTTGCAGCTTTAGCTATGTGGAGTATACATGAGACTAGATCATGATCTGAGATATCATCACTCTGCTGCAGAATTTCAATGCCATTTACATCAATTCCATGTGACAGTATTAAATCGAAGTATGATTACGACAATGAGTAGGTCCTGACACGTGTTGTCTAACCCCAATAGAGTTTAGAATGTCTCGCAGATAGTCATCTAATGTTTGCTTTCACTGACTGTTAGAAAGTGGAGTCCTAGGCATTTTGAGACAGGAAGCAAAGCGCAATTTTGGAGAAGACCCATTTGAGGTTAGTGACCTCTGAGAGGTCAATTTGATTCTATCAAGCACGATGTAATTCGATGTTTAACACTATCAGGGTGTGCTCCAACTGATAAGTACCTTGTTGTCTGACTCATTTCCGAGGCAAGTTGTTTTGTGGTGTTCCCTTCTGATCAATGGGCAAATCAATGGGTGGATTTTTTTCCCCACAGGGCTTAATTTTGACTGTCATTTTGATAAATGAAACAGTGGAAGTGGAATGCCTGAAGTCCGTGTTTAAAATGGACACAATGACCAATCTGTGCACATTTAGTGCTTGTCACTTTCTGATAAACCACCAACAAGATTGTGTTAAATGCACGATTAAGAAATAGTTCTGATCTCCTTTTCTGCATCAGTGGATATGATGCACTAATGAATTAATAGCTTGTGGAATATTTAACTTGCTTCGTTGAACTTCTGCATGACTGGGCTGATTCAAAACAAACCTGTAACCATAACAAAGTAGAAAGTAACAGTCAGTTGTTTAGCAACAAGAAACAAATCATAAACAGAACAGAACTTGCTAATAGCCTATTATAAAATTTTACATTCTCAAAAAACATTTAAACGCTGTATTTCCTTCCATGGTTTGATGGACAAATACCATTCAGCATTGTTCAATACCATACGTCTTTCCTATCCTATCCTATCCTATCCTAAAATAAAATAAAATAAAAATAAGTAGAAGTTTTTATAGAGCAAATATAGAGTAAAAAATATTTTACTCTATAAAACAGCTTTGAAAGTTGTGAGTTGTGAAAATGACGTCATCTAGGATCTTTATACAGTGGGTACCACTGTCGTTTTCATCTGTGTTCAATTTAATTCCATTAAATTCAATATGGCGTCTAACCTGACAAAGGTCTATGGGTTAACCATTTTAAGCGAAAAAAACCTTTAGCCTTTAAGTGTTGATGCTTGAACAATTTTCTAAACAACCAATCATTTCAATCATGTTGTGTGTCACCCTTTAACCTGTTGAATATCGCTTATGTATTGTTAATAGGCTGTAACCATGAATTTAGATGTCTTTGTACTATTCTCAGTGCATGAAGTATGGAGAGATTGATAGGTTAATCATGGGGAAAAAGCATGGTATGTCAAACACTGCAGGGGTTATGGGACTGGGGAAGAAGTTTGGGAGGTTGAGGAGGCACATGGGGTTTTTGGAAGACATGCAGACGTGGGCAGACATAAGCGGATCCCAAGGAGACAAATGGGAATCAAATCATGCCCCATAGCGAAGACTGAATATGGCAGTGGAACAAGGGTAAGATTTTAAACCCCTTAACTCAACACTCACTGCAGTGCTAAAAATAGCTGAAGGTTTGTGCTTTGCACTTGCTGTGAAAACAGCCTGTTTCCAAGGCCTTAGGCAAACGTCACTTGTGGATTTGATTTGTGTGATTTTAACATCTGAATAGCTAGTCGATGTATGACGACCTTCCTTTTGATCATAAACTGGCGAGTTTAGCAATATTCCATTATCAATGAACTGGACAGTTGCTACTTGTAGTTAAACCCAGTTAAATGCTTGCCAGTAAGAGAATGAGTGTATTTAGTAAAACATCCAAAAATGTTTTAAATCAGCCACAGAGAGTCATTTTGTGCATCCAAATATCTGATTCTTCAATCTAAGCTTGTCTGGTGGATATATTTTTAATGGGGGTGCAGGGACATGTTGTACACATGAAAATGGTTTTCATTCACCCATAACCTCTATTTCCGATCCAGTCCTGTTTGGAAAGAAGAATGAGTTTGCTCACCACACTGTTTGATTTATGAACGCATTGACAGGGGTTATGGGCCACAACTTTTCAGTTAATTTATACCCACAACGTATTATTTGGTGCCATCCATTGTTATTTAGGAGAATGGGAATTTTGCAACAAAATAAAATATAGAAGTGAACATTTTCCTCCTGTTAACAGATCCCAGTCTGTGTTTTGTATGGACACAGGAGATTGGCTGAATTTTTCTAAAAACACTTGGTGTGTTCGCCATTGATCGGTTATATTTAGATACGGATATGGACTAAAGAGAGTGAGTCATATGCCTCACGCCCATTGTTAAAGGGTCCTGTTGGGAAATTAAAAAACATCACCTTCGGATAGAACTCTTGTGCGAGTTAATCCCCGGCATATAGCTGACAGGGAACTTATTTTATTTCCACAAATGAATGCAACACCCTAACCGTGAGACGTATTCTCCAAATTCATGGTTAATGTGAATGTTGTCGAGCAGAAATAGTTTTATCTGCTGATACACAAACAGCCTATCAAATTCAACTTCAAAATAATTTCCTCTACATGTGATGTCACAGATGGGCAAAAATATTAGCCTATTACATCTACCCAAGAAAAAAGTCTTGCTTTCAAAAACCCTTTTTTCCCTTTTAAATAAAAAATCCATATTCACATTCCAGTGAGGCTTAGACGGGTCTAGACGTGCTTAAGTAGTGAGGTGTCTACACTTTCAGAGTGCAGATGGCTTTTGTCCCCTTGCAATTAAACACAAAAATGAAAGAATAATTAAGCTTTCCCCAAAATCGCTAATAAGCAACCCAACTTCCTCTTCACATTACCACTCTTAAAATATTAGAATGTTCAAGTGCTCTCAGTTTCTGAGAACTTTAAGGATTGAAATGCTAAATAAATCAAATAATAGACATTTAATATATGCGACCATATAATTTCCGCCACATTTTATGCATGTCTTTCAAATATAGCCAGATACGTCTGGTATAATTACTGTAACACCAGGAGCCCCTTTCTATTATGTCCTTGCTGTGTGTGTGAAGCATGTAGAGTCAAGAATGTGAATTTATATTCTGGTGTACACAAATTATTGCTAAACACACACATACACACACACACAAAACAGAGACAGACAGACAGACAGACAGACAGACAGACAGATAGACAGATAGATAGATAGATAGATAGATAGATAGATAGATAGATAGATAGATAGATAGATAGATAGATAGATAGATTTTAAATTATTATAAAAATTGCATATATTATATTTTAATTGACATATATGTAATCATGCAACCAGAATTAAACAGCCATGCATGTTTTCCAAAGTGCTCCAAAATGTTCAAAAGCTTCTCTTATACAATCGACAGAGCCTGCAGTATCTGCTCCTCACAACTGAATCAAAACACATAGACGGATATGTCCTTAGTCAAGTTGAAAGTATAACATTCCGGGGGCAACATTAACGCATTTGATGACTTGTATCCAGCGCAATGAATACCCAATGAATGATCGCGCTTACGCGCGAACGAAATCAATGTTAAAGGCGGGGCGACAGCAGATCACATAAATGCACGCACTGTGGAGCCCATAAAAGGGTGCAAGGCTGTCGAGATGGTTATTTGCGCCCAAACTTTTAATAGAGACGTATAACGGCGTTGCGCGCTCAGGTGCCAAAGCTTCCTGCAATCAGGACCATGGAGAGCTACAGTCTGAGGACGCGCATGGCAGTGTGCGCGTTATTTCTCTTCTTGTTGACCGGAGCCAGAGCGAACGACTCAGAGCCGGATATAGAAGTGGAACTGGACACAAGAGCCATCAGAGACTTCTACCCCAAAGACCCAAACCTGACAAGTGAAAAACAGCTTGTGAGTAATTCATCTTTTTATTGCGCAAAAGACAGATTCACTTAGACATCATGGTGTAGGCTATAAACACAAACGTGCCAGAACTTTTCAAAGTTAAAAGTGTTTGATTTTTGTGTGAATTGTTATATTGGTATGTTTTAGAGTGATTTGACTGAAAGAAAACATATTTCCAAATGTTTTATCAAACCAGCTCGGAGCTCTGCAAGAAGTTCTGGAAAAGCTGCAGACGAAACGAATTCCTCCTTGGGAGAAGAAATTTGGTCAAGTTCCCATGGTATATATTGATAGATATTTTAACTTTGCGCATAAGTGCGTGTTTCTTGTGCTTGCGACATGGACATTGAGCAATTGCATGGATATATGTCTTGGCTGTTTTGTGTCTGTTTATCATTTATATGTAACAGTAAAACATCCAATAATTTATATATATTTTCAATAAATGATATGTATTAGATGGAAATTCCTATGTTTTAATGACCCATTACGGGTCCCCAACCATAAGCCTTAAACAAGTGCGCTTTTACGCAAATGCTGTAATTACAAAAGTAACATGATCTCTCCTGTTTTCTCTTGCTAGTGTGATTTGGGAGAGCAGTGCGCGATCAGAAAAGGCTCTCGAATCGGCAAGATGTGCGACTGTCCGGGCGGGGCTTTCTGCAACTTTTTCTTGTTAAAGTGTTTGTGATGGAAACACACAATTCTGAATGGATTTTAATGGGATTGAATCCATATGCATTATATATCATAAATAACTGCAATTTTATTTGTATTAATATTTTTTTTAAGTGAAGAGACTGAAGACACTGAAGCAAAGTTGTAAAGAAATTGTTCTTCAAATATTTTCGGCATGTAAACATGTGATACTGTCATACTTAATGTTAATCTGCTGTTTTGTGCATTAAAGTGCAATATAACTTGTTTTGTAAAGTTGTCTGTGTATCAGTTACTTTTAAATTTGCATAATCAGAATAGTATAGTTATGTTTTTGATCAAAATACAATAAAAAATACTTTAAAGACCAACTTTTAAATTAATTAAAAACTACTGATTAAGGATGATTCAAATAATTGGGAAAATTTCCATGAAAGTAAAGCTAAAAGATAAATAAATAAAATAAACTCACAGCCTATCACTGAATGTGATCCACACACTCTGTAGAGTTAGTTGAATCATGAAATTTAGCATTTTTAAAATACTGAACAGCTGTGTTTTAGCTGGATAAAAAATATGTCCAGAATAATGTTATAGCTGAATTTGCCTGCAGAACATTAATCACATTTTAATGACGTTTCTATGTTCATATTCTGTCAAATGAAAATAAAAAAAAGTTCAACAGTAGACCATCCCGCATTAGTCACTGTCAGCCACCTAAATAAACTGGCCAATAACTGTGAATTGCAATGTGCAAAAATCAATTTTTCAACTTTTCTACAATATTTATTATTATATTATTTATATATTATATCATATTAATATTCATTGATATATCATATTTAGCATTATTAAATTACACAAAATGCGGCACGTCCACTGTAGAAACATAACATTTTGTGGTAAGAAAAAATGTTGGATATCTTTTAAACACTGCACCAGGATAAGCATCATACTGTCATTCAATCTGTAGAGCCCTGAAAATACTTATCTATCCTTTGCCTGTACGAGCTGTATCTATCTCTTCTTTCTTCTTCTTCTTTTTTTTGGAATCAATTACTTGCCACTTGTTCCAAACCAAGGCTAAACAAGGTTCTGACAATTGGCATATGTTGAGACGTCACTTTGTTACTTCGCTTTTGCGTAGTTGGCTCTGTAAGCGAGCTCTTAACCATAAGAGTCAGAATCAGATTGTTGACCTTCAAAGTGAATCCACAATGTAGTTTGAAGCAAATAGGGGAACATAAGTCTTGTTAAAAAAAGAAAAAATGCTCAACTTCTGAATTCAATATTCCCTCTGACTGGTCAAATGGTGCCAAAATTGCCTCTGGAACAGATAATATGTCAGTGATGACAATTAGCATAACATGAATTGATGGCTTCACAGAAAGTAGCTGTAAATCTATCTTTGAAGTGTCTTGCTTTGGTTCAGCCGCCAGGAACATTTTCAGACAGACAATCTGGTGTTGATGGTTATTTGTTAAGATGCGTTACGCCCAACACTGACTACATCCGTCCTCACCTTCTTTAAGGTGATTATGTGTGCCTTTAGACTTATTGCTCGGCTTTGTCACTGATGCCACATATGTATGCTGCCCCCCAAAACCTCTTTTGCAGATCAATATTTCATCATTTTTGGACGAAAAAGAATGTGATGTTGCACCCTAGAGACATAAAAGAAAAGCAGAGCCAGGCTTTATGTGGCTGTGAAAAGCTGAATTATTTGTACCATGAATGGATTTCTGCTGCTGTCATTGTGGAGGATTGAAAATGGTCATAGCTGTAATCACTTGGTGATTGTGAGGTTGACTGAATGGCCACTTAATCAGGACAGTAACTGGTAGGAGATGATGTCTCTTGCATTAAACTGACATTGGCAGAGCTCAATTATTTTCTAAGTACTAATAAGGTTCTGCTTCAGAAAGAACAAATTTGATCTGAGATCAAATACGGGTTGATAGCTCTGAGAAAGTTTACTAAAACCTAACATAAATATGTTTAAATATAAGTAAAATATATTCAAATATATATTTAAAATGATTTACATGTTCATATTTAAAAATAAATTAGGATATATAATTTAAAATACATATGAAATTATTAATTTGACATTTAATTTAGAATATAATAAATATAATATAAAATAATAATAATAACAAATATATATAATAAATAATAATTACAATTATTTAAAGGTGACATATCATGAAAATCTGACTTTTCCGGGTTTTAAGTGCTACAATCAGGTCCCTGGTGCATCTACCAACCAAGGAAACGTGAAAAAGATTAACCCAGTAACTTTGTTTTGGGAAGCCTTTTTCTGCAAGCGTCTGAAAAAACGAGCGAGTCTGATTTCGCTCTCTTGGTGACGTGGCAAAGTGATCTCAGTATAATATTACCGCCCCTTAATCTGTAAGTTTCCACCCACGGCGCCGTCATTTTGATTTCGCAAGCGACAACGGTGTACCAGCTCGAATGCCATGGTGAAAGTTTGAGCAAAACATGCTAACTGTTCTGTCTTTGGCTGCACAGAACACTATTTACAGTCCCAGCCTCAGAGGAGACAACAGAGCAGTGGATTTATTGATTTATTTAATGTATATTGCTGCCGCCACACAGATCTAAAATAAACATCCGATTTATTTCCCAGCTGCTTACCTTCACAGACATAACCGACTGTTTTTGTAACTTCTGTGTTTTTAATGTAAACTTGTGTGTGAATGAGAACTTAGTTTAGTACTCACATGCTGTGACAGCCGCTTTCTGTCCGTGTGCTTCGGATGTGTGCACTCAGAAAACCATATATCTGAAGTTTAAACTCATATGGTTTAAAACGCATGATTTCAGCGCGATAAACATGATAATCAGAACCAAAACAGATGTTTTTAGCAGGTACAAGCTGTAATGGCTTGCTCTATTCTGGAAAAGGGGGCGGGGAGCAGCAGCTCATTTGCATTTAAAGACACAGGCCCGAAAAACAGCTTGTTTCTGCTTCCACTCAAAATAGGCATTTTCAAAATTATATAATAAATGATTTGTGGAGTATTTTGAGCTGAAACTTCACAGATACATTCTGGGGACACCAGAGACTTATATTTCATATTGTAAAAAGGGGCATAATATGTCACCTTTAAATGTTTAATTAAAAAATAAAGTAGAAAATACAAAATAAAATACATTTAAAAATATTATTTCTTAAATTAATATTTTTATTTACATTAAAATAAAATAGGATTCAGCAACATGTGCTACTGTGTTTTGGGTGACACATTATTACCCATATTTTTGAGTTCTTAGCAGCTTTTGTACTTTTCCATTTCAATTATGTTGAGATTCAGCTTTGGACCTCAAGCATAACCTTCAGACTTTGCTCATTTCTTTCTGCTTGCATTCTGTGTGAGTTTTTCTAGTGACTATCTAATATAGCTTCAACAATTTGGAACTTGATGACTATATGTACAATATATCAATAAATATGATAAAAAGTAAAAAAAATAAAAAAATAAAAAAATTTATTTAAATAAAAAATATTACGTTATTATTTAAAAAATTAAAAATTACATGAAAGATATATCAATAATATATTAAAAGTTTTTATATTTAATATTTCACTGACGTTGAGATTCGAGTTCTGACCTGAAGCACAACCTTCAGATGACGTACTTTTCTAATTTCCTTCTGCTTGTATTGGGTGAGCCTTTCTATTCACTATCCAATATGGCAGCTTGCAGCTAAAGAAATCAGAAATGAATATAAATCATATCTAAAATATTAGAAGAAATATTATAAAAAGGGAAATAAAATAATTTATTATAAATATATTAAATAAATATGTTTCAATTATAATTCATTTTTATATTTAACATAAATTATTACATTTTAACTTAATAATTAGATGAAAATGTATAAATAAATAAAATTATTATTTAAATTTTACTGATTTACTGTTTTGACCTCAAACACAACCTTCAGATGACTACCCTTGCTTTTTGCTTGCATTCTGGGTGAGCCTTTCTCATGACTATCTAATATGGCAGCTTGCAGCTAAAAATACCAGCATCACCTGATGGATCAGAGAGTAGGACTGCAATGTCATCCTACCTGCCGTCTGGATTTGTGAGGTATTTGCTCTACAGCTTATGTGAAAAACTGCCAGATCCATTTCAGCTCCTCAGCTCAGCATTTAAGTTAGGGCAATTACTGGCCAAATAGCAAAATTTTGGACTTGTCAGTCAAAGTGTCTGTACTTTAAATCCCAAAAGTGCTGAGGATCTGAGGAATCAGACAACAATTAGAGAGTCTTTGAGGTTGCAATATTGTTCAGAAACTGCTTCGTCCAAAGCATTTATACCTGATATCTATGTTGTGTTTAGCAGTCTGCCAGTTCATTTGTAAATGCCCTGTGAATGACAAACAAAAAATACTGCTACAAATGACCCTATGGTTATTTGAGATTATTTGCACTTGTCTATAATGTCCAGCAGAGGGCAGTATGAGCTCCTTTCTATTAGATTGCTAACAGACTGCTGACTCACTGCAAAATTCAGCCCATGGCCAGACAGGTGCTTCTGCATGTTAACTGGCCTTCAGAGGGAAAGCCCAAGCTCTCATTTATTTTACTAATCTAGGCAGATTTAAGGATACATCAAAAATACAGTTTAAAACAAAAGGTTTTTGTAATTTAATGCCATACAGATATCAAAGGATTATTAGATTGGATGCAGTCAGTCTATTAATGTCATTTCACACATTTTATACTAATTTTACACAAAAAGAAATAAATAAAAATAATAACAAAATAAAATAGAAAATAATAAAATGTCAGAGTGCAACAAAATATGGGCAGCTAACCATTATTTTTGTATTTATATGTTATTTATAAAATATTCATACATATATTTTGATTGCTTAGCAGTGCTTATGTATTGACATCTAACTTGCATTTCATTTAACTTGAATGTTAACGTGTATATTTATTTTGCGGTGTACATCTTTAAGCTTTTAGCATTATCTGATTATTTAGCATATTTTTTATATTAACAGTTAACATACTATTACATTATTCTACTATGCTGAAAAAAATGGTGTCGGAAAAAATCACTCAGAAATTGCTAGTACATTCACAAAGAGATGGCATGTAACACTGAATGAATCTATCTAATCATTAAACACACACACACACACACACACACACATTTATATAAAACCACTGCCTATTGTAATGAACAGGAATAACAATGAATCATTATTAAATAACTATTAATTATCATGAATTATTTATTTACAGCATATGAATATTCACGTGGCTATCCTTTACTGCACATTATGAGGCACTGTTCAAATCATAGCCCATTACATTTGAGTTAATGATGTTGCATTGTATTTGCATCGCGACTCTATTTTTTTTAGGCGTCTAGCGTGACATCACACAGCTGCATGGTCTTTTAGCCAATCACACGCAAGTAAACAGCGCCGTGTTTCGCATAGTTTCAGCAGCCCTCCCTGTCTTAACTTCGCAGACAGGGCAGGTGGCAGCAGTTGTCATGGAGATAACTGCAGGCCCGGCGTCGGTGAGAGGGGTTGTTTCCATGGAGATCCCGCCCCGAGGTGCGCTGGCAGCGGTGGAGGAGGACGAGGAGCACGAGCAGTCGGGCTCCGAGGAGCGGCTGCAGCATCCCGGACAGCTCCGCCGCCGCGGCCCGAACCCCCGCCAGGGAAACTTTTACATGCTCATCGTGATCGGAGAGATCGCGACAGAGCACCAGCTGCACACCGCCAGACAGCACATAGAGCACGGTGAGCCTCTTATTGAAAGCATGCCTCATCTGACACATTAAATATGGCTTATGATCCTTTTTACAATGATTTTGTTGAATGAATATGTAGCCTTCTCACAGTGGATTATAACAGACACCAAATTTACTCTCATACCTATTTTAATGTATTAAGTTATTATGGTATTATGTGTTATTGTAAAAAAAAATCACGGAGATAGCTTGAATACTTCATCTTAACTTCAACGCAAGTTGACACCTATATAAGCTGCATACTGTACTGCAGTGGGTGAGTTTATGTAATTATAGATGTACTTCAGTCCAAACGACGTCGCAAATGTCAATTTCCAAAAGGATCTCAAAGATATCATTTGCTTAATGGACATAATTAAGTAACTTCTACACATCGCCTGTCATGTGTACTTCTTTGGAGCGGTGTATGATCCGATGAGACATTGCATACTAGTTCCAGCAGCAGCAGCACACTGCGGCGACCTCGCGTGACTGTACAGAGCACTGCGCCATGAATTTGATGAAATTGATGAAGCTGCAGTTTTGATGGTCTCGTGATATTGCTGCTATTCAAAATGTTTTTTTTTACCACTATGTTTTTGGGCAGGTGTTTAAACTTACTATAGGCCGGTGGTTAGTTATGGCAGTAGGAGTGTCTCTGTGTTTATTTTTTCAAGCATAAAATAGTCAAGGAAAAGGTGCACACAATCTCAGAAAAAAGGTACAAAGCTGTCACTGGAACCCTAAGGTACAAAAGCTAAAAGGTGCATCTTTGTATCTTATGTAACCCTAAATGGTACATATTAGCACTTTAACAAAGGTTCATATTAATACTTTAAAATGACATGTTAGTACCTAAAGTATGTGTATAATAAACAGTTAAAAAACTTTAGCCCTTTAGCCCTTAACTTGTATGTCACAAAATGTGTTAAATATGTCTTTAAATAAAAGGATATACCATTTTTATAGATGTAAACAATTGAAGCACAGTAATTTGTTTGCAGAATTGTTAATTAAAATGATTTGATCCTTTTAGCTTGTCATAATAATTTCCATCATTTCTAATTGATTTTATGATAACTCCATTTATTTATTTGTAATTAAATTAAAATAGCCGAAAAAGTACAATGAACTTATCACTTGAACTTTAACATTTACATTTTTGTGGAATTATTATTTTTTCTACAGTGCACAAATCATCAATTAGTTTACAGAAAAGTACATTGAATTACAGTGTTGATAGTGTTTTCATATGGCAGAATAGAATCTAGTACTGGTTACTTTTTATCGTAACTTCTTTGCTTTAGTACTCTAAAATATGTTTTATTGTTTATCTACCAACTCGTAAAAAGTTGGTTTGCTGAATGGACATCTTCTTTTCATAACTACTTCTGACATTTCTTCTAATGATCATGAAACTTGACTTTTGAGTGTAAAACATTTTTGTTTACAGCATTGCCACAGTTTTGACATTAATCGCTCCAAAAGTCCATAAGCGACTGTATATTAAGTAACAAATCAGAGCTGCCAACTGCACAAACCTGAGAATCAACCAAATTAGAACATAATATTCAGGGTCAACAATGGTACACTTGTTATGCTACTCACATTCAGTACATTTACAATCCTGACATGCTCACTCTGCAGCATTCTCTAATGCTTGGACGTCTAGAAACCCCAGGATTATCCCATTCCTCCTGACAGACTTTTAATCAGCAATTAGCATATCGATGAGAATGAAATCAATACTGTAAGGAATGTCTTGTGTTTTTATAGGCTGCGGAAATCTTATTTTGAGAAAATAGAAGTATCGGGTCATCTCTGCGGTCATTACCTGTTTTAAATCCCAATGACACAGCATTTCTGAGGACAAACACTGCAGTGTTTGCAAGATTTACACTTCATCTACAAAGCAAAACAGAATCTGAGGAAAATAGCCCTTCATCTGTATGAAGAAGAGAGGAGGAAGGACACAGCCGAGGAGAGTTAAGAGGCATAGAGATTAAATTTCATTTCCTTATTCTACAATTTGGAGTTTGAAGTTCAACGCAGTAGGAGCTTAAGACACATCTAAAATTTGGGGATCTTATGTAACACTCAGTGAATGAATATTCTGAGCACATCACACTAAATCTCATATTTAGAACTGTATGGCAGATGTCTGAGAGCATGTTGAAAAACGGGCTGAAAAATCACAACAATCACATATAAATACTAAGTAATTATAAAAATAATAATAATAAAAAGTAATATAATAATTTGGAATTAATTAAATGGTGTGATATACTCTAATATATACATACAGTATAAAAGGAAATTTGTTAATTTTTTTAACTCAACTTTTCACACGTTATATAATATAATCATTTGTAATGAAAAAAGGTATTATATACGCAAAAAGTGGAATATGGGTAAAGCTCATTATGTGAAATGAGGGTGTGAATGAACATGTCACATGTCTCTCTGTACCTGCAGGTATCCGTTCCTGGGACATCAATGTGTCAGAATGTGACCTGGACCACCAACTACAGCTTTTCATAACCAGACATTCCGCCCAGTTCTCAGCCGAGGTCAGAGGTCAGTCCGATTGAAAGGATGACATCTAGATCCTGCAGTAGAGTTGAATGCAAATGAAGTCAGAAGTTTATATGAAAATCTACTGTATAAAAAAAGATATGCTCAAGCTAAATGAATAATTGCACGGATCAATTTCCACTTATTTCCCAGCATGCCACACATAAATAAATATTTTCAGTTGGAGTCAAGCTGTTCATACACATATTGCCAGCCCAAGGTCACACTGCAGTGATCTTGCTTACAGCAACATGCACGATATGCAGCTAATGCAGCACTGAGAATCTCTCCATGGGGAGTCCAGCATGTGTGTTTGCACGGGTCCTGCTTCCACTGTACTGCCTGGCACAGTGGTAATCAAAGAGCTGTGTCAGGAGGAGAGGAGCTGCAGAGCCAGTGCTTGACTGCTGCAGTGTGTGTGTTGGGCGGGATGGAACTTAATCTCTGTAGTGGGTTAAGCTGAGGCATAATCATAAAGGCTCAAATGTGACTCGGTGTAAGACAGGCCATTTTATAAAAGTGATAAGCGGTTTTTGCAAAACTAGCATGCTATTCATTTCCTAACTGCTGAGAAAGTGCCTTACTATGCATTTTAAGCCTTAAGCTGCTGTCAGAGGAGGTGAGTGATACAGTAGCTGGAGACAAATTTCATGTAAATTGCAATGTAATTTAGCATAGAGTGCTTTTGTTCTGAATATATATAGGCACGAGACTGCATGTAATCACAGATTATGTTCAAACCAACATTGCTTGCGAATGTCATAATGCTTTCATATCACAGTAGAGCACTGCAAACCCCGAAACCCTTCAAATGATCAAATTATTGGCTAAATGGGACAACATTGGTTGTTGGGAACATTAAACGTAAATACACCAAACAAAAAACCTCGTCTACTCACTAGTTTGCTTTCATAGCCTCATTGTGTTTTTAATTGCGCTCTCGCAAACTATTCTAACTCAAACCTTTCAGGGAAGATGTTTTTTTAAATAGAGACTGAAGGAGTTGTCGGAAGCTTCATGGTGGTGACGTTGAAGTCATGTGACTGTGATGTAGTTTGTTTATAGCCTACATTTAGTTTTTTACTTCTGTCAAATGTATTTTGGCTTCAGAATTCATAAAAGCTGTGTTCATTTGTGGAGATTATCACAATGAAAAAACGTGTAAGAATGATAACATTTTGGTCACAGAGCTTATTTTCTGCAATAATCCAAAAGCCAATGGAAAAACCCTACTGAGTTGTTGTCAAGGGAACCAGGGGGATGCTAAAGTCCAGGTTGGCCTACAAACCTGGAGTTCATATTATTGCAAGCCCGGCAGAAATCCAAAAACCCAAGCAAGTCCAAAAGCTTAGAAAAGTAATAGCACATTTCTCCTCAGTAAGCTACATTACTTGAGGCATCATACATGTCTTTAACAAAATATAAATTATGTGCCTAGTAATGCTTACTAGGGTTAGAACAAAGTGGATGGAATAAAGCTGGGGAGGTGGAGTGATGACCTCTGACCCTGCTGAAGGACATGATGTGTGCTTAGATCAGATTGTCATGACTGGTCTGTGGGGTGATACAAGGTTAACAACCACTAAAGGCTGATGTCTCAGATTGTGCTTTTCTGTGGCTCAAGGCCTGTCAGACACAAGGCTCCCAGGCTGATGGTGCAAATGGGACCACAGAATTGATTCGACCGTATCATATTCAGCATGCACCTTAGCATAGATCAATACCATTCAAACTAAGGGGAATTCAGTGGCTGTCCTAGGGCACAAATAGATGTGTTTCTATAGTAATTGGGAACAAAATGATAGATTAAGTATTGGCTAATATAATTGCTTTGTCTAGGACTGATGGATGTTTTGTTCATTTTTTCAGCCGTATAAGCACTTGAAGTTGAATTCTTTTTTATTATTAAGGATATACTGATTGTTTCTTTTTTTAATTGTGTTCTCAGTCCTTCCTTTTTAAATCTCCTTTATAAATATAAAATGATGAGCTGCTGCCATCTAATGGATATTATGAGTAATTCAGAACAATGTCAAAAGAGGTAAAACAACAGATAGAAAGAGACAGAAATCTATCTATCTGTCTGTCTGTCTGTCTGTCTGTCTGTCCGTCCGTCCGTCCGTCCGTCCGTCCGTCCGTCCGTCCGTCCGTTATACCCTTACAGCCCTTGGGTGACAGAATTGATTCGACCGTATCATATTCAGCATGCACCTTAGCATAGATCAATACCATTCAAACTAAGGGGAATTCAGTGGCTGTCCTAGGGCACAAATAGATGTGTTTCTATAGTAATTGGGAACAAAATGATAGATTAAGTATTGGCTAATATAATTGCTTTGTCTAGGACTGATGGATGTTTTGTTCATTTTTTCAGCTGTATAAGCACTTGAAGTTGAATTCTTTTTTATTATTAAGGATATACTGATAGTTTCTTTTTTTAATTGTGTTCTCAGTCCTTCCTTTTTAAATCTCCTTTATAAATATAAAATGATGAGCTGCTGCCATCTAATGGATATTATGAGTAATTCAGAACAATGTCAAAAGAGGTAAAACAACAGATAGAAAGAGACAGAAATCTATCTATCTATCTATCTGTCTGTCTGTCTGTCTGTCCGTCCGTCCGTCCGTCCGTCCGTCCGTCCGTCCGTTATACCCTTACAGCCCTTGGGTGTGATCAGTAGTTTGAAGCCCTTTGAGAACTGAGAGCTGCTCTTGCTGTTAATGAACTGCAGGTGGCTAAAAGATACAGCTGTGTCATTCCTATTATGCAGCTCATTTTCATGTCCCGTTACACATGTCAGAATATATTGGATAAAATATTAAACTCACTTATTTTAAAGATGGAAATCATGGTACTCATGGAATAATAATTATAATATTCACCACCATTCAAAAGTATGAAAGTATGGGGTCAGTACGATTTTTTAAAAAGTTTTTATTCACATTAAATTGATAAAAAGTGACAAAGGCATTTATAATGTATAAAGTTTTTTTTCCAAATGAATGCTCAAATAATTTCAAATAAATTATTTTAAACCTTCTATACATAAAACAATCCTGAAAACTCTTTTCCACAAGAATATTAAGCAGCAGCTGAAAATTCAGTTTTATAAATTATTTTTATTACACAGAAATAAATTATTTTAAAATATATTAAAATTATATATAAAAATATTACTAAAATGTTAAAATATTTCACAATTTTACAGTTTTCACTCTATTTTTTTTTTATCAAATAAATGTATCTTTGGTGAGCGTAAGAGGCTTATTTCAAAAACATATCTTACTGGCCCCAAAATATATTTAATTTATCATAATATCACCGTTAAGTGCACATAAGAGCATTTAATTCATTAAATAATCATTTAATTCACTCTGGCTTTCATTCATGTTGCCATTTTATTATGTCCGAACTTCTAACATGAAAAACTGGCAATTTATTAAGAAATGTTCAAGGTTTTAACTAACACAATGCTAGTTACCTAATGACATTTTAGCCTGTTTGATTAAATTACAAATTACAAATCGTATGATCATTTCAGAAGTAAAGACAATGGTTGGCTAACTTTATATTTATATATTCTGAGCTTGACCAGAGCATATTTTTAAAGCCTATTGTACCTGTTAACAGAAATACTTCACTTACAACACAAGCATATTCATATTTTTTAAATTACAGAGTTCAAAATGTGCTGTGTAACAGTACTGATCCCTTCAGTGTCTGACAGAAACAAAGAAATGAGGCATTAGCAATCTCCCAGATTCAATCAAATCAAAAATATCAAGCGTCTCACAGCAGGAATGACCTTGATCAGTCAGTACTTCAGAGTCTTGAGGTTTAGCGGCGGCTGGTGGCGAGGTTCAGGGCAAGGAAACGGCATGATCAGTGTTTTCATTTTTACTGAGTCGCTCATCCTCCTTTCGTCTTCTACTATGTTTCCATGGTGACCTGCATCTTGGCATAAGTCAAGGTGAGCGTCGATGTTAGGGGCTAATAAGCGTGCTTTGTGAGGAGAGAAGTACTATGTGCATATCATATCGATAATAATATGAAATGAACAACTGTTGTTACCCAATTAATATGACACTATATGAATTTATGATATCTTAATGTATTTTAAGAAATGCCATGGGCAGGAATAGCGGCCTGCAGTAAAATAAATAGTTTTTGCTTTGGTAATATCAGATACTGGCATAACTGGCTTTTTATTAAACTGTGACCACCACTGCATTAGCTGCTAACAGGCTTCATCTCCTCAAATATCCTATTAGAGATACTGAATGAGACGTTTCGACCACTGTCATGCTCTGTGAGTCAGCGTTTGGGAAGACTGATTGTCTGCAGGTGGGAAAGTAATGGTCTGGAGAAGAATTTTCTTATATTTCCAGTCCCGTCTGAGTCACAAGTTCCCCTCAGACTCACTCACAAAGTCTATAATACCTAGAGAAGACTGTCCATTAGCATTCCCATGCATTACAAAGGCAGTTGTTGTCTTGCGTAGGACCGTAAGTGAAGTACGTGAAGTAACCAGCCAAACCTTGATCTCTTGACCTTGTCTATCACTTTGTCTCCTGGCTAACAGCACCTAGCTAGCGCTAACTAGATTCTGACCCAGACATTCCCTCTCATGGAGTCTGACTCTATTATCAGTGATTTATTTGCTAGTTTGTGTCTCCCACAAGTCGGAGACCCTCAAAACAATTCTTTACAACCCCAAAAACATTTTAAGAGTGTTATTTTGCTTACGTTGCTAATGTAAATTTAGCACGCATAGACAAAATCTTTGCTTTATAAGTTTAAAAGGAGAAAAAGTGAGTAATTTTCTTTAATAGTCACTGGGAGTGCAACAAGAGTCCTCATGTACAAGTTTATGCCAGCCATTTGACTCTTTCCTTTTTCTCTCAGGATACACACAAAGGAAATTGGTACTCTAGAGCTGAAGGCTCAAGCAGGACCTATTTATAATGCAAGCACTGAGCCATAATTATGAATTTCACTGATG